ATATAAATTTCAGAAAGAGGAAGGGAGAGGGAGAGATAGAAACATCAATGAAGAGAGAGAATCATTGATTGGCTGCCTCCTGCATGCCCCATCCTGGGGATTGAGCCTGAAACCCGGGCATGTGCCCAAATCAAACTGGCAACTTCTTGGTTCCTGGGTTGATGCTCAACCACTAAGCCACACCAGCTGGGCTCTGATGTCACTTTTTTCTACAGGGTGTGCCAGGCCAGCCCGGGACCAAAGGAGGCCCAGGAGACAAGGTGAAGTGACCCCAAGCTGGCAGCAGAAAGGCTTCATCTGAGGGAGGGAGCCTAGGGGCAAGGGACCAGGGCTTGTCCTAAAAACTGCAAGGCTCAGGCCTCACCCCAGGCTCAGCGACTCAGCCTGTGCACAAATCCCTTGGGCCTAAGCACTTCCCTCCTGGCACCTCCCGCCACTCCCCACACCTCACCTCAGCTCAGCGGAGACAGATGGCATGGCTCTGAATCCAAAGGAGAGACAAACAGGGAAATCAGTGGAGTCCAGGGGATCTGACCAAGAACACCCTCTCCCTTCCACAACTTATTGGGTTCCAGAGTCTGTTTAGGGTTCATTGGGCTTCTCCCAGACCAAGGGCCTGACTGGGCCACCCAGACTGACCTTAAACTGTGTTTTCCTACAGGGTGAGCCAGGCCAGCAGGGCCTCCCTGGATTCTCTGGTCCCCCTGGGAAGGAGGTAAGTGCCCTCTCCTTTGACACAAGGGCTCTTGCTTTGTCCCCCGTCCCCAGGCCTGAGGACCCTGCACTCAACTTATGGGGTCTGGGTGAGACTATGGGGTGAACCCTTGGCATGGAGGTGCCCTGGGTGCCAGCCAGGGCCCTGCCACTGACCCACTATCCGAGGGAAGCTCCCTCTCCTTTCTGTACCAGGCAGTAGGGATAAGGGGCTCAGAATCATTCATTCATTCATTTATTCATTCACTCATTCCGTAAGCATTCACCATATAGCTGCAACTGTGCTAAATGCTGAGATACACAGTCTCCTATTCACACAGAGCTTACGGTTTGTTAGCAGAAGAGACGGACATTAAATAAATGAACACATGATAACTAACTACAATTGTGTTGAGTCCTATGAAGGAAAAGTACAGAGACCAGAAGAGAAGAACAGGGTGTAAGGGAAAGCTTCCTTGAGGAAGCGAATTAGCTGTGACTCAGGAATGGGCTTTAGCCAGGTGTGACGGGAGGGACCACCAGGCCTGCTTAACTCCAATTTCTCTGTCCCCCAGGGAGAGCCCGGGCCTCGAGGAGAAATCGGTCCCCAGGGCATCATGGGGCAGAAGGTAAGTGCCTGGCACAGTGCCCCTCCCCGGGGGCCTTTGCAGCTGCTGGCTCTGCTGGATGAGGATCTGGGTCCTCGCAATGGCCCAGCACATGCGCAGTCCTGTCCACCCTGAGGGAGGCTTCCCGGCTGGGCCTCAGTATGTTGGTCTGTGAAGTGGGGCCAAGGACGTCCATGCTGGTGACAGTAGAAATGGAGGGCACCTGGCCATGCAGGGTCTGGCCTGGGGTCCGCAGGGCGAGGCTGCCAGTGCGGATAGCCTGGGTGTGACCCTTTCTTTCTCTTCCAGGGTGACCAGGGTGAGAGGGGGCCCGTGGGGCTGCCAGGCCCTCAAGGACGGCAGGTAAGAGAGAGGCGGCTTGGATGGGCAGTGGGGAGCACGCCTGGCACCTCATTTGCTTGACCCTCTGGTTTCTTCTCTTCTCAGGGCCCCAAGGGGGAGCAGGGGCCTCCGGGAATTCCAGGACCGCAAGGCCTGCCCGGCATCAAGGGAGACAAGGTACCAAATGGCGCTGGAAAAACCCTGGGAAAGAGGCCCAAAGACACGGGGTGGAGGACGAGAGCTCACCTTCCTCCTGAGCTTCCCAACCTTTGGGGAAAATGACACCCCGTGGGCCCCAGGGAGTCCCGGGGAGCGAGGGGGCGGCAGAGGCAGGGAGAAGGGACCCCGCATACCCCGCCCTCCCTGGAGAGGAGAGCTCACCGAGCCCCCGACGCCCCGCTTTCTCCAGGGCTCCCCAGGGAAGACCGGACCCCGCGGCGGAGTGGTGAGTACCAGCGCCCCCTCTTCTGGGGCTTGGGGGGCGCCCCCACGTCCGGAGGTTGGGGGTGGGTGGTGGCGGCAC